CGGAGCTCCCCAGCCCGGCTTGCCCGTCCGGCGGCTCCTCAGCCGAGTCCTCAAGCGTGCGGGAGCAGCGCGGAGCGAGCGCCATCGGGAACACCGGCCCTGCTACGGGCACTGGCAACGGTGCCTGCAGCTGCCTGCACACACAAGCAGACCAAAAACGTACAGGAGACTAAACATGTACATACAGGAGGAGGAAGATACTTGTAAAAATAACTATCACCAAAAATCATGGTTTTGGATACCATCCTCTCATGCAAAGGTGCTCCTCCGGGCTCTCTCATAAAAGAAGAATTGAACTGGAGATTTCAACTGGGTAATGTGGTAATGGCTCCTTTTTTCTAACAAACTGTCCCCAGACAGTCCAAGGTGCAAGGTGGAAGCTCTCAGCACAGAAGCAACCTCAGATTTCCAAGTGGTGACGGTCTAAATGACCCGGCACAGAGGGACAAACTCTTCCATGAGCGCAGTTTGAACTGTCAGAGTGAACGCATCGCTAAAGGACAAGCTGTTGTGAAGCAGCTGGGGAAATACAGGGGGCATGACATCAAAAAATTCACAGAGCCAAGGAGCTGAGCTACCAAATACCAGCGAATCTCAGTTGCTCCCCTGAGCGGCACGGAGGTTTATCAGGGGCTCCTGCATGGAGGGTTCGAGGTCTGTCCGTACAAGCTGTTGAACTGAGGTTGGAACAGTAATTGTAAGGTGAAACAGCAAAAGACACATTTTGTTAATAATTTAACATCCTTTTGTATGTTTATAAACATTTGGTCTGGTATGTGAAGCAACTGTTGCACAGCAAGCTCTCTAAAAATCTTTTTGTTTTTGTAATCATTGGTTTCATGTTTTCCTAGTGTTTATTTAGCAGTTGAAATTGAATAAAAAGGAGAAAACAGGCAGACATAAGAAACAAAAACCAGCTGCAAATGGTTTTCCCCTCCCTGTTGTAGTGTAAAATAACAAAAATTATAGTTCCTGATGGGGATGATTTTATTTGCATCTGGGCTCTATCAACCAATCAGACTTAGGCACAAAGCACAAACTTTCAGTTATAATGGTTAAAAATAACCTCAAATTCTACCATTTTATTTAGATATATTTTAAATGTTATCTTCACTTTTTGTCATTTATGCTTGTATGTTCACACACGCATATAGATATACATGTCTCTCAACAGGCATGTTTGGGAGCTGCTCCTTTCCACCAAACTATATGATGAGAGAGGTTAAATTCTGCATCAATGGGATTCTTTGTTGGGACAAAATTTAAGTCCCAGCATATACTCATTTGGTTTCTATTAAAAACATGAAGGCAAAATTACATAAAAAATAAAAAAAATAAAGCCATAAAATGAACAAACCTTATACATTCATTAGCACCCTACTTTCCTGGGCAAAAAAAACAAGACCAATTTAGCCATGGATGTTCTACCCAGTGATTAAATAATGTGGCTAATATAGCCATTTATTTTAACTCTTGTCTTTTGAGTAAGTGAAACCAAATGCTCATTTTGTGGACATACAGTTAGCATTTCTCCTTCCCTTTTCTTAAATGCAAATATTTCTAATGTACTTGTCTCTACTTTTGCTTCCCTGTGCATCCTAGACTCAGATGTTGATCTTGAAAAAAAAAGAAAAAACAAAAAAGATAAATAACATACCAACATTGCACAGATTTCAGAAATTGCTTCATCTTCTTTATACACTTCCTTTTTTTTTGTAAATAAATAGACTGTTGCACTAGAGCCAAAACTTTACAGTTGAGTAATTTGATAAACAACAAAATTACACTGGATGAAAACTTCCATTTGTAAACTTTGAAAAGATATTTTTACTGAGTTCATTTGTTAAATATCAGTCAGAGATATGCTGTTCTTATGGAACCTAATGAAAAATAATGACTTTCCTTATTTTCTCAAAATAACTATTTTTAAACCAAACCGCTACACTTCCAAGAAATAACATTAACAAAAAAGAGCTGCAATACAAAACGTACTAACCATAGCCGCATAACAGACAGTCCTTCAAAGTAAAAAGCAAGTATATGGTTTGGTATAATCCTCTATGTTCACATAAATTCATCCTTACACAAATTTATTCAGGAACAAAAACCATTTCAGTTACAATAGGAGCAAGCCCCCGGGCTAATACTTTTCTCTGTGTCTTAGGAATTGGCCAGCTATGGGCATAACTTAGGACTACCCTTGGATGCTGCTAGGATGACTACAAGCTTTTACAGGTGAACTCAAGCCTGGTTTAGACCACCTGACTAGCTGAGTTGGCGCCAGCCGCACAGCCACGTGGTGCAGAGCTCCCCAGAGCACAAAGGCCGCTCAAGGAGCGGTCAGTGACCCCGTGAGCTGCAGTGCTCACGGCCCCAGCTGAGGCTACCATGGCTTTGCTTCTTGCAGTGCCCAACCTAATTTAAATCCAGCACCAGTATCCCCAGAAGCCTATGGGGCAACAGCAGGAACGTGCCTTGCTTTCCCACGCAAGAACAGGAGCATGCAGAGCGGGTGCCTGGCCACCCGCACAGTGCGGCATGTGCTCTGCATCTGTGCAGGGCCGCAGTGGTGCTCTTGACTAACGGGTGCAGGGGAGAGGGTAAGGACACCTCTAAAGCCACACTTCCCAGCAGGGACATGTCAGCAGAGAAAAAGGCCTGGAGACTACATGGAGGGAAGAAAAAAAAAAAAAAAAAAAAAAGGCCCCAAAAAAAAAAAAAAAAAAAAAAAAAAAAAAAAGAGACAAGAAAGAGGGAAGATGCAAGGACAGGATCAATTTTCTAAATTTGGTAAGATCTGACTTAGGAAGAGATAGAGAGGTAGGACTAGCAGAATTTGATCTAAGTAATAATACTGGTTGCTGTTGAACTTTCTCTCCCATACGCTTATACTGGCTTCTAGGAATGATACGGGAACTCTCCAGCATCTAGTTTAACAGCCGTAAGTCAGTCTGCACAAACATCATACAAGAGAGTCTTGCAGAAAATATGTCTAGATTTTTGAGATATCAGCTGAGTTTGCAGCAAGACACATTACATATTTACATGATATACATTTATTAACTGCAAAAGAGTGCAGATGACACGGCAATAGAGTACCGGTCATTTAGAAGAGGATGTGAATTGCCTATTTCGAGCATAACTGTTTTTATAGACATCACATCTTCATACGGCTAACCTGCTGTTTTTCTGAACTGGGCATTTTCGCATATGAAACCCTGGGTTCAGATATGACCTTAAATGTGTATATTTTATGTGGATTTGTCTACAACAGTACTGATAGAAAAGAATAAATAATGAAAGCACAGTACAGCATTTGGAATCTGATTTCAACTTTAAAACACAAAAAACACACGCACGTATGAACACCCATACAAAGCACACCCTCCTTGCCTTACACAGCTTTGCTTAACAGCCATACAAGTTTAAAGGTGTTAAATTAGCCTCCGGAGAGCTCCCATAGCATCCCTTGAATCCAATAGAAACAAACTCGAGTCCAACGTGGTAGTAAGCGGTAGGCTGGCGCCAGCAAGAAACACCTACAGTGGCAACTGCAGCCCAGACCGCTCGCGTCTTAGGAGGCGAGCGGCAGGAAAACTCGGCTATTAGCACAAGAGGGCAAGCTCTTGGCAGCCCTTTCCTCCTAATGAGGCACACAAAATGCTTTTCCGATGCTGTCTGTGTTTTTACTTCCTGCAATAATGGCATATTTGGAGATCTGAAGAACACGACGGTTTCATAACACAACCGTAAATCCAGCTTGAAACCACAGTCGTACTTAGGCTATGCAGGGAAAAAAAAAAAAAGCTGAAGTAAATAATTAAGTAATAAAAAAGCACCCAAAATGTTACTGTACAGATAGATATAGCAGAGAGAATGTGAAGCTACGTTATCCTTTTCATACCCTTGCATATATATGTTACCTTTTATTTAGGTTTTGTAATATTTTATAAATATGTAGTATCACAGCCACTCTTCAGAAGTCATTGCTTTCATTTTCTAACTGGGAATACCCAGTACAACGTCTCTGTTTTTAGGAAAAGGCTGAGAGAGAAAAAGTAACTTCTCAACACATTGAATGAGGAAAGGAAAAAATGAACTGCTGGTGAGCATCACCCAGGTTAAACATTATCAATACAGAGGAACTGGCACAATAGACTCTGCTCCACAGAAACCCTTGAAGATGGAGGAAAGGCTACTTTTCCTTCCCAAGGTAAACACTACTAACAAAAAATGGCCACTGCAATTTACTAATTGTTCAACAGGGCATAGGAGGGCTGCAGATATGAGATCTGTTAGTGTTCTGGGGACTTTTTTCCTTCCCTTTTTTTTTTTTTTTTTTGGCCAAAGTCTATGTCTCTCTCTAGTCTGGCAATCACATTAGAAGATTTCACTAGACAGTGATAATCACTCTTTAAATAACAGTCAGATGTCATTAACATGCAGTAAGCGTAACCAAATTATACAATCAAAGTTTAGAGTCCTGACCAGTCACCCTTTTACATTTAAATAAAATTAGCTACATGGATTTTGGCAACAACGGAAACAAACACACAGAAAAGAACTGAACTGCAAAACACAAAGGCCATTCACAACCCAGCAACATGCACAATCTAATTAGAAATATATGAACTGTTCTCTGTTCTCTTGAATTAATTTTCAGAAACCATATGTAAAATGCAATTCTTCTAATATTAACTACTTATAATTCATTTCAAAGTTCAGTCTTTGTTCAAGGACATTAGTAAAACAGAGCAAGCTATAGAGCTTCTCTCTAATAAAAACCTTAACTCGCCGATTTTCTTCCAGTCTCAGATTACTTATATCATTTCACTTGGTTGCTTTATTGTTGCTTTTAAAAAGAAATATATATTTTAGGTGCAGTCACTAAACTAGGTTTCTGCGCTCATAGGAGGCAGAGGGCCAGTATTTTCTTGATTCTATGCTATGGCTCATAGCATAAAAATTTTCCTAAGGAGAGAAATTCCCATCTCTCCACAACCTACTCTTCTCACCCCCTAAAAACTTTTATGAAGATTTTTCCTACAGCACAGCTTAGGTGGATCCTCGTTCCGCATTCTCACGAACGTCAGTAGTTTGTTGGCCGACTTGCTCTGCATTCTCAGGATACTAC